GCAGGCGCTGCGTGTGTGTGTGCACGTGCCATGCAACAGCGTCACAATAAAAATGCTGCGACTCGGTGACCCTCACATCGTTGTTGTCCTCACGAGCAGCCGAGCCACGGCCCACACCGATGCACTTAGTGGACGGAGTGAGGCATCTTTTGATGTGCTGCAGGGAGCAGGATGTGTTGACGCAGCCACGACGTGCATGGAGTGTCACGATGGCACAGTGAGCTGTGGCTGGTGGAATATTTGCTTCTCGGAGGCAACAGAGAGAGAGAGAGAGCTGCTCCTGCTGCTGGCGTCGTTGCTGCCTTTTGTGGTCTCCCATGCCGATTATTGTCTGTCCGCTGATCATGGGTGGCATGCCTCCACTAGTGACGTCGTCTGCAGGCATTCCACAGCACCAGTGAAACACACATCACGTCGCATGCCTTGGCTGTGGATATGGTGTCTTGCATGCAGCCGGCATTATTTTGCCCGACTCCTTTTCACTGCCTTGCGACAAATGGATGCGTCCCCGCCCGAGTCATTCACTGCAGCTCCGTGTGCTGTACTGCCAGCACAAGACTCTCCTGTTGTCTGACGCCTGGCTGACAGTCCAACACCACTGCGTTGGGGCATGCAAGGATGTGGATTGCCGCTCACGGTGTTGGGCACCGCTGTTTGGATGCGGCGGCCACACGAGCGGATGTATTGTGGCAAAATCAAATGCGTGAAATACGCGGAGTCACAGCGGCTGCAATAATATCAGCGGTGTGGCACCACGGAATGTGTGAGGGGGTGGTGCATGATGAATCACGGTGGGCGGCATGCGAGGGAAGTGCACCGCGACGGAGCGTCATCCCGCCCTCAGCCTGCAGGGGAATGTACGCCCACAAAATATATGGACGAGGCACCACCAAACACACATGCCCTTCTGTGCAGCAATAAATAGGAGCGAAGGTGCGTTCTGGTGTGTGGGAGTCCACTCACATATTTTCATCTCCACCGCAATAAACGGTGAGGAGTCAGGTGCCACAGCAACGAAGGGAAACAAAAACATCTATTGCAGCACTTTACCAGCGAAAAGCAGGAACAACACAAATTGAATTATTGGCTGCACCAACACAAGAAAAAAATGCACAAGAGGAAAAAAAACAAATTGTGCACCCTGCAGTAATCCCCAACACACGACCCAGGCATGAAGGTTTGCCGTCTGCAAAAACCCAGACGAACAAAACATATGCACACATCCGCCAACATCCAAACAGAAAAACAAATAAATGATTGCTTTCTTTATGCCATTCCTTGCGCTTGTTTTTGCGCGTGCGGCTGCTGCGGTGGTGGCCGGTCTGCACTAAATTGAGTGCGATGAATGTGGACGAAGGCCTACTGCAAATGAACTGTTTGTGGTGAATATTGGCTGCACTTCCCGTGGACCAACAATCCGCGTGGTGTGCGGGGATCTTTTTTTATTGTTACTTTGCTTTTGCGTTGCTGTGTGCGCTGCACCTTCTTGTGTGTGTGCGCACCCTCCGTGAGGGGTGCCGACACGACGGACCGCTCTCGCCGTATGTGCATGCGGTGGGGCCTTGTGTGCCGCTCCTGTTTGCTTCTCCCTCCTCCATCTGTGTGTGTTGGTGTTGCGGCAGGGCTGTGTGTGTGTGTGCCTGCTGCCGTGGATTGGAGTGTGTGTTGTGCGTGGTGTGCGGCGTACGGTGCATGCCTGGCTGCTGCCCTCTCCTCATGTGGTGTGCCCTCTGTGTGTCTGCCGCACCTCTCGTCTCCCCTGTTGCTCTCCATGTCCCTGACTGTGCAGATCAGCTCCACACCACTGAACGACCACACTCACGATGATGACGTGCCGTCTGCTGTGCGCCCTGTTGGTGCTTGCCCTGTGCTGCTGCCCGTCCGTTTGCGCGGCAGAGACTGAGAATGGGCCTATTGCCGCCCCCAGTCTACCGCTTCCTCCACCACAGCCAACACCCCCGACGGCCGCCGGTGAGCCAGGATCGTCCAGTAATGGGGTCGCTGCAGAGTCGGGAGATGATGGCGTAGAGGGACCAGGATCTACCAGTACGGCAGGTCTGGGACCAAAAGTAAGTACCGAGCCAAATACATCACTGACAGAGGGTACGAAAGAGCAACAAAGTCGCACCGAAACATCCGCAGAAGAAAAAAATAAGGAGTCTGAAGCCCCTGCTCAGACAACCACCACGACCACCACAACACATGCACCAACCACGACCACCACCACTACAACAGAGGCACCAAGTACTACGACTACAGAGGCGCCAGCTGTGTCGACCACCCGCGCACCGTCACGTCTTCGCGAAATCGACGGCAGCCTCAGCAGCTCTGCGTGGGTGTGTGCCCCGCTGGTGCTCGCCGCATCCGCGCTGGCGTACACCACTGTGGGCTGAAGAGGTGTGTGCGGGCTGTGCGTGCCAGCACTCAACCGCGGGGATTTGTGCGCGTGTGTTGTGGTTCACTGTATAAAATAAGATAAAATAATGATCTTGTTTTGCTTCACTTGCTTCTGCTGCCGTGCTGTGTGCTCCGCGTTGTGCCCCACATCCGTCACGTTGAACGCATCGCGAACACACTCACAAGCATGCGCACTGGAGCCCTGGGTTTGTTTTCTTTTCTTTTTTAATTATTGTTTTTTATTGCTTTTAAACTTGTGGTTTGCGGTGCGGTGTGCGAGCTCTGCAATCGCACTGACTCCATCTGTCTCGTGATGTGTGCGCTGCTGCTGGGGTGCTGCCATTTGTTGCTGTGCGTGGTGTAGCGGCCGTGTCTATCTTTTTTTCTTCCCTCTCTGTTGACGGGGAGTTACTTTTGCTGAAGGCTGCACGCAAGTGACAGGAGTGATGGCGATGATGACTGGCCGTGTGCTGCTGGTGTGTGCCCTCTGCGTGCTGTGGTGCGGTGCCGGCGGTAGCTGTGAAGAGGAGGCAGGAGCTCCTGTGAGTGGTGGTGTACCTCCGCCGGCAGCCAAAGAGCTTGAAACGGCTGGACAAGGCACCAAAAACTTAAAAGTTGGATCACCAGATATTGAAGGAAAAGTGATACCTGCACCTTCCCCTCCCACAGAGGAAGCTGAAGATGAAGACAGTGATGAGGAAGAAGAAACGGCGGAAGAAACGGAAAAGGATAAAAAAGGCGAAAAAGAAAAAAATAAGTTACACCCCCAGACACACGAGAGTCAAAATAATGAGGGGGCACCACCACCGCCACCAACGATACCATCGGGTGGACCTGCACCATCATCAACAGCAGGTGAAGGAGGCCCACTACCAGATCAAGAAAACTTACAGAAATTAAACAAAGCAAAGAAAGAAAACACACCGTCAAGATCCAAAACGGACTCAGAAGCACCGGAACCACCTCCAGGGGATGCTACACAAGGGCAGCACAATCACGACACAGACACAAAGGATTCGACGAAGAATGCAGCAGCCGGCAGTCCAGCGGAAACAACAACAACCTCATCTACCTCTACAAGTGGCAGCGGTGATCATGCACAGAATAAGGCAGATGAGGTTGATGCTCAAAGCTCTGAAGAACAACACGAGAGCCTTGAAATTGGCAACTCCAACGTTGTTCCACCACTCAGTGAGAGAGCACCAAAAACAGCGAGGACAACCACTGACGCTCAAACAAATGGTACGGTGACAAAGGTTGGCGAAAGTGACGGCAGCACCGCGGTCTCCCACACCACCTCCCCTCTTTTGCTTCTTCTTCTTGTTGCGTGTGCGGCTGCGGCGGTGGCCGCGTGAGAGTGAGTGTGAGAGAGCCATGCACCGCCCGCACACACACTCGTCCTTCTCTCTCTCTTTGTGTGTGTCCCCTTGCATGGACTCTCGCCCTCACCTCATCCCACGAAGCACACACAATAATGTGCCCATTGTATATATGCATGCACACCCATGCAGGCCCGTTGGTGCTCTCTTTTGCACGACACGCACCGCTGCCGTCCTGCCTGGCTGCATGGGCGGAGCACCGTAACTGTTTCTGTTTTGTTTTTATTGCATTGAGTGGGCGACCTCTCTCTCTCTCCCTCTGTGTGTGTGTTTTGCTTTACGGGAGTAATGAGAGTGTGTGCGCTGGTCGTCCCACGCTTCGGCTTTTTGTTTTATTTTTCGTTGTTTTGTGGTTGAGTGCACCCATTCCGCGGCTGCGTGTGTGTGTGTGTGTGTGCGATGATATGAGTAATTTGCGTGTGTGCTATCTGCCTCTCTCTGCCGTTGCTTTCTTCAGACTCTCTTGTGGCGCACAGCTGCTCTGCAAGTATAGGCGCTGCCAAACACACAAGCACATGCACACACACACACACATGTCATGTCGAAGACGCTGTGGGCTGCCCCTGCACTGCTAGAGGAGCTCTCGGCGCGCTTTGGAATGTTGCATCTGGCACCATTGGATTTGGTGCGTTGGCGCCTGTGGCTGCCTTTGTCGACGCTCCGATCCGCTCTTTTGGAGGTGCCGGCGTGGTCGTGGGGCGGCGGGAGAGCAGCTGCGGACACGGTGACCTCAACGCAGTGAGTTCACAGTAACTTCCTTGGCCAGTGGCAGTGCGGATGGAACTGTCATAATGATCGCACCGCCGGCATGCTTGTTGTCGAGTTCCCCGAAAGGAGAGCAGTGAAAGGAGGTCCGTCCGCATGCGCCTTCGCATCTCCGCCTCAGGGCTGCGCATCACAATTGGAGTTGTCGTGCGGTTATACAACAGGGTATGATCTGCTGGGGGAGCGCGCTGTGCGATGCTCCTGCACGTGGGACGGGTGCTGTGCCGTTGGCGGATGTTGAGTGGTCGATCACACAAATACTGCGACACCACAAGGAGTGCAGACCGAACACTCCGCGTGCAGGGAGCGTTGCGGATAGTGAGGACTTTGTGCGACGGTGATGGACATTTTCTCGACGACGGATTGATGGTTTTTCCATTTGATGGAGTCGGTGCGCACGCGGTGTGTGTGGCTGCCTCTGTGGTCTCCTGTTACTCCGCTGTTTGTTCCGCATCCTGACGCATCACTGGCAATAAACTGTTGTCTTTTTCTCCCTTTTTTTTCTTTGCCTCTCTCCTCCCGCAGCCAGGCTGCACTGCTACTGCTGCTGCTACTCACACGAAAACAAAGAAATGCATTTTCCTCAGGTCATGCGCTAGCAACGCCACGCCACACCACTTTTCCCACTCGTGGTTTTGCTGCTGATGTACTGCGCCAGTGGATGTATTGCCGCTGCTGATCCCGCCACACAGTACCGCTGTGGGTTTGACGTGAAGAGGAGGAGGAACGGCCCGCTGCCGACTGCGGTGGTGCGTGAGGTGCCGCGGAAGGGACAGGGCGCGATGCAGGCGTACATCGTCGCCACACAGGATGACGACAGTGACTGGAGGCCGATCCGCATCGCAGTGTCCACGGAGGATCTGGAGAGAGGCACGAACAAGAGGAAGAGTTACTGCGAAGAGGGAGAGGATGAGTGCCGCAAAGCCTTGGGGCAAAAGGTATTATGCAAAGCAGAGCATGTCTTGACGGAAGAAAAGAAACAATTGTACACTGGAAAGATTCCCCACGGTGCCGTCAAACTGCACACTGAGCGACTACTTGTGAAGCCCACTGGTGGGACGATAACTGTACCGAGGGCCATGAATGGACCGTGCAGCCACTTTACGGTTCCTACCGGGCACAAGAGTGACGGTGTGCCTGATGCAGATTTTATCATCTACGCTGCTGCTATGCCATCAGGCACTAAAAGCAGGGCTGTGTGGGCGGCCACGTGTAGCACATGGAGTGATTTTCGCGCCTACATTGGCGCCATGAACTTTGATCCGAAGTACATGACTGAAATGGCGTGGAGCGTTCGCGTTGCCGCACACGAAATTGCGCATGCACTTGGGTTCAGCCAGGAGAGCATGAGAGAAAAGAGCCTGGTGAAGAAACGAGAGAGAAGTATGCGTGGGACGCACCGCAGGATGGTGGCAGGGAAGCACGTTCAGAAGGCGGAAGCGCACTTTGGTTGTGGCTCTCTCGAGGGCATGGAGCTGGAGGACGAAGGTGGCCTTCGGGAAAAAGAAGTCCCTCACTGGAAGGGACGCCACGCGCGGGACGAGCTGATGGCGCCCACAGTTGGTGCCGGCTACTACACGGCTCTGACGATGGCGGTGTTCGCGGATATGGGGTACTGCCGCGTGAATTGGAGGATGGCGGAGCCGATGAGCTGGGGCCACCGCAGTGGCTGCGACTTCCTGGTCAACAAGTGCAATACAACCGATAATCTTGCCGCCAAGTATCCTCACATGTTCTGCGATGCTACCGACACAGAGACACTTCGCTGCACCTCTGACCGCCGTCACGTCGGGAAGTGCACCGCAACCATCGTTGAGGACAAGGGGAGTCTGGTGGATAAGGATGTTTGCCCTGTCGTATCTTCGTACTTTCACGAAATATCGTCTGGGACAACGTACAGGACGTGCTCGGACGAAAATGTGGATTATCTCCGTGGGTCGCTGACTGGCGGTGGCTCGTGGTGCCTGGATGCGGAATTACTGGAGACGAGGGACGGTGATGGCCATAAAAGCGTCAAGGGAGTGTGCGCGCAGGTGTCGTGTGAGGAGGGAACAGTGAGGGTGAGGCACCTCGGCAGCAGTGTTTTTCAGCCTTGCACTGAGGACACTGACATCCCAGTGGCGTTGAAATATTTTCAGAAAGGTGGGAAGATCAAGTCCGCCCACTTACGGCGAGGTGTGCACCATTGCCGCGAACGGCAGCAGTCTTGTCGTTCCGAGTGCGTTGGTGGATGGACAGGGTGACGAGGAAGAGGAGGAAGCAGAAGAGTCTGCGGTTGCTTCAGGGTCGCCTTCTCCGGAGAAACTCGTCCACAGTTGTCTCCTGTGGCGTCTGGTGCCTCCATTGAGAAGGAGCCTCCCGGTGCTTCGGCTGCGGGTGTCGCTGGTGGTGGCCTTCATGCCGGTCCGAGGGGTGATCCGGGGGTGCGGGCCGAAAGTGAGGACAACACTCAGCGGCGAGGGAGGAGACCTGGCAGTGGAAGCGAGGGAGCCAACAGAGCCTCCGGCCGCGACGCTTTTTTTGCGCCATCGCCCGGCGAAGACGTTGCACGAGCGGAGGGCGACCCGCGGGCGGATTGCCCAGCGATGGTTCCCAGTGCCTCCGCGCCTGCCACTCCGATTCCTTCCGTCAACAGCGACGATTTTCAGGCGATACCCGATGCGTTGGTACAGCAGGCCGACAGTGATTGTTGTGTAGCTGCTGCTACCGCTGGCCTCGTTCCCTTTGTGCTTCTTGTTGTGGTTGCTGCGGCGGTAGTGGTGGTGCCTCTTTGAGCAGCCGCGGCGGCTGGGCGCAATGAAACTGCGGCAGGGCGACAGTATTTACTTGGCACATTGACCCCGCACTCAAGATGTGCAAACCGTAGCAATAACAATATAATACACTCACTGCATTCCCCATGTCCTTCTTTGCTTGCGGGCGATGGGCAAAATGACCGGTCTTTTATTGCATTGTTTGTTATTCTGGGAAAATGTTTTTTTTTTTTTTTAGAGGGTTTAACTTCCGTGAAAACTGTGTGTGAACGAAGTAACATGGAGAGAAAAGACAGTTCCCAGCACCACATGTATACACGCGTTTTTTGGTGCGATTGGGACGAGGGGAAATCACCGTACTCTAATCATGAGTAAAAAGTAAAGGAAATGTGCTCCAATGGAGGCGAGGGCGTGTCAGCAGCTGTTTCTCTGAAGGACAGGGACGAATGCCTCTCCCTCCGTAATAGGTGCATGCGGCTTTATTTTTTACACTTTTGCCTGGTTTTGTGACTTTGCTTTTTTTTTGCGTCTGCGTCATTGCGAGAATGTGGACCTCAAATAATTTCTGTGCTTCGGCTTTCAATCTGTATGCGTCCTTTTTATTTTTTTGCTTTCCCGGCTTTTTTGCATCCGTTTTTGATTGGCTGTGTGTGTTTCGGGTGCTCTGCTGCACTGTGGGTGGTGTGTCTTAATTCCTTCTGTCCCTGCTGTTCTGATTGTGAAAACACGCTGTGGGTCAGGGTGCATGGCTCCGTGGTTGCGGCACTATTTGTTGTGGTTGCGTTGAGGCAGCCCCGACAAGACTGCCAACGTGTGGCTCTTGGGTGTTTCGCTGGGCTCATTTCCGTCTCCTGCGCTATGGACTCGCGTCGCCGGCGCATATTTTCGTGCAGTGGCGTCAGCGCAACAAGGTGGCAGTTTTGTTGTTGTTGCTGCTTCAGCTGTTTTGTGTTTCCCTCTGGTATTGTGAGGTGCGGGTGTCGGATGTGGCGGCAATGAGCCGAAGATAAGGAAGGAGGAGGATGGTGCGTGCGTGAGGACCGTGCGGTGTTGGGGCGGTGCGCACTGTTTGCGGGCTTGATGCGCCCCTTTGGTGCATGGCGTGTCTTGGTGTGTCCTTCTTGCCGTGCGTGGTGCCAGCCGGCTCTTCACGATTGTGGCAATGGCGTGTTGACAGCGGTGTTTGGGTTGGCGTTGGATGTTCCACCCTCTGAGGCTACGAGGACGTATGCGTCACGATGAGCGACACCAATCGCGCACGACGCCTGGTCCGCAGACAAGTGACGCACCGACTGCCGACGCGGCGCGGCCCTCTTGACTTTTTCGACCCTCTGGTAGTCTACAGTCTGATGTCTAGCCGTAGTGGTCTCCTCTTTTCTCGCTCCTTTTCTGTGTGACCGCATGTACTGACCATAACAATTGTACAACACAAGTATTACTGAGTGCAGGGCTGTGTGT